ATGCCATTGATCATTTAGCTTTTATTTATTCAGATTTTGACATGTGTAACTATAATGAATCTCGTAATTCAATTATTAAAAACATTTCTCACACAATGTCTGACAGAGTTGCTGTTAATCATCTCACCATTAGCAAAGTATGTGCTGCATGGGGAAAAAATCTTAATGAAATGAACTCCCATTTGCACCCTCTTGATACCATTGCCACATCGTGTCGCTCAGCATTGAAGTCCCTAGAGAATGAGAGTTGTAAATTGTATAAAAATGACTGTATGGCAACTTTAATAGTTTTGGCTATAAATAAAATGAGATATAAAGACGTCAAAGGTGATCCACAAGGTTTTGTAAATTTTTTAGTCAATAAAAAATTACCACGTGGTATCATTCCAAGATATCGTGGAAATCGACTACACATTCTTTTTTCCGTACTTGTTTTATTTTGATGCAGCTTTATAGTGACTTTAAACATTACCTCACAATTGGAACAGTAAAATGTAAAAGTTTACAGGCTACTCTTTGAGCTGCTTTTTGTAATACATTAAACAAATGTTTGTGCTTGCGGTATTTGGAAAAGTTCTTACTGGACCTTAGATGACATTGTTTTATTTAACAACAGAGCATGCAAATTTTGATCATGTTGCGGATATCCGTGTTGACCATGTTGCGGATATAGTGTTATAGGATATCCGTGTTATAGGATATCCGTTTGACCATGTTGCGGATATAGTGAAGAATGTTGTACAAACAGTTTAAGCATGAAAATCCAATCCAGCTGATTTGTTTTTTAGACAGACTGATTTTTTTGAAAATTCGCTGAAAAGAGACATTTTAAAATTAATTACAAGTTAATGCACCATTTGATGAAGAGCTCCTTAGAATGACTTCTGCTTGTCTAAATGCAGTGAAAGATGTTTTAAATCGACAATATTGTAGATATTTCTCACTTAACATTACAGAGAAATTGAAAGAAGAGACAACAAGCGCAAGGCTTCACACTCTGGATAGTAAGGAGTTGATAGGTATGCTTAGCGATGCCAAAGTACGTTCCCCTAACGCAACGATTTGTTATATCTCTTGCAAACTTAGATCAAAAAAGAATAGTACAGTGGATTATTTAGACAATCTAGACATTAATTTTAGAGATAAAGTTGTTAAATGGTCAGTTTATGTAGCGCATAGAAATAGAGTTAGAAATCGATTGCATCAGGCTAAAATTAGAACCAGTATTTGCCAAAGACAGGCATCCAAGCGCCAAAAAATGGATGAAAAAGAAAAAAGAAAGTTAGAACGTGAGCTATTCAAACTAAATTATGATGAAATTATAGCTTCATACAAAAATTTGTCTAATGACCAACTTTATGATTTAGAAGATGTCATGTCTGGAAAAATTGTAGGCAAAAAACTATGCTATGAATGGTACGATCCAAATACATTCAAGCCTGTTTGTATAAAAGCAGAGTAGAAAAAGTTAGTAGCAGAAAAAATGACTTATTTTACACTATTTCTTACTGGGAAGATGACAAAACAGATATGGAAGCTGTTGACCGATTTATGAAAAAGATCCAGCTTGTTGCAGATGTTATTTCAGGAGAGTTACAATTTTATTAAATTTATATTATATTATTAAGACACTGTGAAAGTATAGTTCAGGCGTGGGGAAGGGGAAATGACTCCTCTTATTTGACAATGGATGCAACACTAATGTAACTTTTGACCAAGTAAAATATTTTTTTTACTTCTTTGTTGTTGTACTTTAAATAAAAAATCAGATATTTCATAATTGAAATTTTTTTTTAGGTTAGGGAGGGGGGGTTAGACACCCCTCCCTTACATCAACGCCACTTGTGTATGTAAACTCTTGTAAAATATGTATTTTTCTTATATATACTATTGAATTCATTGTAGTAAAGATAAAAATATTTACGAAAACAAGTCATATTTGATACTAGGGTGTATCAAACCATCACCACCGCACCCACCTCCATCGTTAACATACGCCTCTCATATCATCGGTGGTTTAATATATTTTTATAACAACTTTTTTTGTATATTTAAATAACTTATGTCTTGAAAAAAAAACTTTTTTTCTGAAAAAAATGATCATATATATATATATATATATATATATATATATATATATATATATATATATATATATATATATATATATATATATATATATATATATATATATATATATATATATATATATATATATATATATATATATATATATATATATATATATATATATATATATATATATATATATATATATTAGGGGTATTCACATAAACACAGGAAAAAAAAATTTTTTCTCTGATCTGAATGCACACTAGTTTATTTTGTGCCAATTGAAATTAAAATTTACTGTGTAAAAGATAATTAAAATAAATTAATGTTTAGAGGTTGCTCAATGGCTTTTTAGTTTTACAATAACAGCATTACGCCTTAAATAATTTTCTAATTTTATCCCATGTTCAATTTAGATAAAATATTAAACAAATTTGATGTACCATTGTCTTTTATGAGCTAACTTCTTTGGCCATGTGACAAGCGGCCATCTTGTCATCTGATGTTTTTGATTGAAAAACATTTTCATTAATTGTAATTTTTTGTTGAACAACTGAAATATTTAAAGATTTTGAGGTTCTTATTTTTTTTAATCCTATAAAATAATAATTATAGCTGTTATGCCAATATCTCGTTTTGTAGTGCTAAATATTATTGGGTGACTTAACTTACTTTAGTGTTTGTTGGTTTGTAATACTTATGATTTCATCACATTCATATTGAAATATTGATCACATATTTTAAATTGTTTGCAAATTAATATTTAATTTCTCAAGTTGAGTTTAATTTGGTATTATTTGATTTGAACTTGTTGCTGAAAATAAGTGAAAAGATAAGTTCTTTAAATTTTCCTTTGACACGTAATCGAACTGCAATATGGTTGATTGGTCAACCTGAGAAAAATTTACCAAACAATATCCTTCCAACGATGGTTGATGTGTTAAGGACGTTTTTCCACTACCACAAAGTATTGAAACAAACAGTTCTAGCCAGTGCAAAAGTAACATCTAATAGTTTCGCTTACATCTAGAAAGAGGCCAGAATTCCAATGACTTACCAGCCTCATGTATGTAAGCTACCATCAGGTATTGCTTTTACACCCAATCATTTTGTACCACTTGTTGTTAATGATTTTAAAAAGTCGCATAAAATAAATTTTCTTCCTGTTACGATGCCAGCCAAGTTTATAAAATTGCATAAAAATCCAATAAAGAAAAAAAGCAAGTATGTTTGAATTTCTTATCTTCTAAAGGTACTACTAAAAGCATCTACGCCATCTGAATTAGATTTGTCTGCAAAAGATAATTTCAGTAATGATACCAATGAATGTTTAATTATACCTAATGATGAAAGCTTAATTGATTTTGATGTTAAATCTTTTGAAGACTTTGATGTTGCAAATTTTCGATTACAACTAAGACAATTACAATGTAACAAAATGGTATTTTGTCAAAAAGTACTTTATTTAGTAAAGAATGTGTTTATCCCAGATAATTCTTTCAATTTTCCACTTGGCAAAAATAATAGAAAGTTTTCAATGAAATGGCTACATACATTTTCTTAGCTTTGTGATTCCAAAAAATTAAATGGTGGATTTTCCTTGCCATGTATTGTTTGGAGATGATTTTCCAACAAAAAAATACAAGCTTTCTGTGTTGTTTAAAGAACCACGCTATTCCAGCCTTCAAATGCCATTGTGATCCGATAATAAATGGTTTGCATTCACAAACGCAGTCTTTTTAATGATGTTGTGAATCAAGCTGCTGGTGATACAAATCCTATTTATGGTTTTACAGATAACGACAACTCCAAATATTACTCATAATTTCTGATAAAATTGTCTCCAATACAAAATCTACTAAATTTTTCTCATTTTTATCCAAAGAAGCTATTGATGTTTCAAACAAGTCGCAAATGTATTTAGTGTTGCGTTATGTTGTCAGTGGTAATAACATTGTTGAAGAATTTGTTAAGTTCGTACACAACAACAATGGTTTAGATGGGAAAAGTGTATCTATTAACATTTTAGACACCATTGCATCCCTTGGTTTAGATATTAACAATTGTTGATGCCAAAGTTATGATGGTGCTGGAGCTGTAGCTGGAACAAAAAAGGGAGTTGCTGTACGAATTTTAAAGTTAAACAACAAGGTTTTATACACCCATTATTTTAGACATCGGTTAAATCTAGCAGTGCGTAATTCTTGCGAAGTTCGACTACTCTGTAATGCTATGGACTGTGTAAAAGAGATTTCTTATTATTTTAATCTTTCTATCAAAAGAAATTCTGTCTTGAGGCAATGATTTTAGAACACTGTCCTAATAAAAAGAAGAAAAAAACTTAAAGATGTTTGTCAAACTAGGTGGCTTGAAAGAATAGATGGTTTGGACACATTTCAGGAGTTGTAAATTTCAATAGTTTTTTTCTTGAAGCTAGAAGAAATGACATAAATAAGTTTGGGGCAGACTGCTAAAGAGCTACATCTTTATTGAAATTGGTCACTATCCTTGAATTTATTATTTCTTTGGTTGTAACTAGAGCTGTTTTTGATGAAACGCATGTAGTGGCTAAAATGTTATAAACCAGCAGTTTATATATTCAAACTGGTATAGATCTTATACGTTGTTTGACTGATAGAACTATGGCTATTAAAAACAAAGTTAATGGTTTTCATGATAGGTGTTATCTTGATGCTAAATTTATTGTTAAACAAATTCGGTTGATAAATGTAGAAGAAGAGCTGTTAGGAGGCAAATCCACCGCAAAAATCATCCAGAAGGGAATACATCAGAATATTATAAACGTGTTTTAACCATCCCTGTAGTTGATCACCTAGATATAGCTCTTTCCGAAAGATTTGGCAATGACAATCTAACTTTGTTCCATGGCTTGAGTATTATCTCTGATAAAATAATTTCTTTGTTAAATGGTCCATCAGAAAAAAACAATTGGAGGGAGAGTTTCAAGATTTTTTTCTGATTTTTATTCTGAAGATTTGTCAAATCCATTAGCTTTAAATGCAGAGTGTGGTCTTTGGAAGATATACTGGACTACCACTAATTATCCCATTCCAAACAATGTGTCTGATACTATAAAGTCAACTTCATTTTTAAAAACTTTTGCCAATATTTTTGTTTGTTTGCAGTTATTAGCAACTTCACCTGTGACATTGTGTTCTTGTGAAAGATCTATTTCAAATCTTCGCAAATTAAAAATCTGGTCAAGATCAACTATGTCTGGAGATCATTTGAATGGTTTAGCATTGATGTATACACATAGAGATATAGTTCCAGATAATCAAGAAATTATCAAAAATTTAATGCAAAGAAATGGTAATTGCAAGTTAAACCTTTTGTGAGAACTTAAACACTTAGTGATTCAGAGTTTGAATACAGTTTAAATTGTTATTAATCATTTATGATGTTTAAATATTCAAACATCTTTATAAATGTTGTAGTAAAATCAAATAATTATCTAACTGACATCAAAAGTGTATTGCATTCATTTGTATGTATATGTAGGGTAAAAAAATATACTTTATTGCATAAAAATGCTTTTGGCCAAAAATGTATTTTTCAACCTTAAAAGCCAAAATTAGAGAAAATAAAGTTTAAAACATTTAAACATTTTAGTAATTAAAGAGTTATGGAAAACCTTTTTGGTTGAAACAGTACAGTATAATATATTATTTATCCCAATTTTTATTTCATTAAATTAGCAGTTTAACCAGTATATATTGTTTAGGAAACTCTCCTGAACAATATTACTAAATAACTTGCAAATTTTTATTTTTTGTTGCTCAAAATTGCAACTACGATACCAGGCTTGTGATTTTGACGATTTGTGTAAATTTTTAAGCAATTTTTAACAACTGGAATTTTTATTATCCTTATCCTAATTTACAGAACAGTTTTTATCTTTACTTAATCACTAGGAGGACTTAATCAACATCCAAAGTTAATTCTTCCTAACCTTACCCAACAGTATGTAATTTCAAATCATGAAATATTTTTTAAAAACTTTATAAATGTTTAAATACAACTTTATTTTATTATCATAATACTCTTTATCTTTTATGATTAACTTTTCTGTTAATCAATGAATGAAAATGTCGTTCTGCGTTAAAAATCGTACACAGGAACCTTGACGTGCTTCATGTGCTTTAAAAGAATACCTTCCAGACAGATACATTCTCACCCGTTGTACTGTGAGAGGTACATGGTCAGAAATTTGATTTTTTTTTTTTTTTTTTTGATTGAATTTAGTTATTACTCGATAAATAAAACATTTTAAAATGTATTATTAAAATCCTAGTTAATCTATTATTTGTTTTCAACAGTTTGTATTCTTCAAATTGGCTATAAAAAAATTAGCAAATCATTAAAAAGGGCTGGTGCTAATTGCCGATACCGATTGAGAAATATTTGGCTGATTAAGCCGATGCAGATTAATCTGAACATTTTCAGATTAATTTTGAATTTCTAAATTCCTTTTTTTTATTTTTAGTTGACATTGAGTACATTGTATATTGTTTACTTATTAGTTTGACTTTGACTCATTAGTTTAGTTGAGTATCAAGAATAGCTAGTATAGGTATAATTTTGATTAAATTTTGCATATGTTTCATGTAAAAGATAATGACCAGAATCTAGTTTATATTTATAAAAAAAAATCCAAAACAACAATTTGAACGGGAGTGATTTTCTTAATACTTTTTCAGTTAATTTCTATTTGAATTTTAGACTTATATTGTCTTAACCAGTATAGCATTAAAATTTCATTTTTTTTTTTTTGAAATTTTGGAAACGGAGAACCAACTTATAAATAGTATTCTCCTTGTGCTCCGGTGCTCTGTGACAAGACCATTAGGACTTCTTAGAACACCTTAATAACAAAAAAAAAAAAAAAAAAAGGAAAGGAGGGGTTGGTAATGTGAAAAAAAATCGCCAAAGGAGAAATAAATTCTAGATCCGCCCCTGACACTCATATTGAGATTTACAAGAGCATAAATAATAATCATAATATCATCTAATAAATCCATTTGAGTGATTGGCACAGTTATATGAATAATGCAAAACCTTTTTATTTGACCAGTGTCTCATTCCACATGTATGTAAAAACTAGATATCTGTTTAGATGTTTCCACTCCCCATTCAGATAATTGTTGTCTACCTTTCGTAAATACTGGAATTTTTAACGTTGCCCCAATAGCATTTAGTTTGTCTTTAATATTGAGTCCTCTCTCAGCAAGAATAAAGTTGCCAGGATTAAGCTTCTGACAAAAGTTTGACTCAAACGTTATTTGTCTGTCTGAAAACTAACTGCCCCAGGTGGTGCAGTACCAATAAGATATTTAATGGTATTGAAATGTTTATAATTAGACCAAGTTAGTGATTGTAAAATTAAATTTTTTGGTCTTTCAATAAAAACTGTGGTACAATTAATAATACAGTTATAGTCTTTAAACTATTTTTTTATAACACTCCTACTCCTTATTAGCTCAGTTAGGTTATGGTATGAAATATCTTAATTATGGTTTAGTCTGGGATTACTTTTTTTAATTTCAATCATTTTATTAGATTTCTTAATCAATTCATTTTTGTATTGAATTAACTGAAAGTTAAGAGTTTTTGCTTTATAAGTATCATGCTGAAAAAGTTTAGAAATACTAATACCGACTCTTCATTTAGTGAATTTATGCCAATATTTATATTATCGTTATAGTTATCGAGCTCTATATCATTTGATTGGCTAGATGGAAGTATTGATTTTTTGAAAAATTGTTTTTTACATAAAGCTTTATAGCAATCTTTTCTCTTCCTTTTTTTAATCAAACTAAAAATCAGAGCAGCTCCAAGGTGATTAAAAGATGGACTCCAGTCAATGTCAGATGTATCATTTGAACGTTTTCCTAAAATATAATAAATTCTTTTTACAATCGACGTTATTCAATTAAATTAATATATGTACCAAGTATTATAAATTACTAATTTAAAGAATCTTATTAAACGTATTACTACGTATATAGTTTTATTAGCTAACAACATTCATCAAAGAACATACCTGATACAAAATGTGCCCTGCATACTCGTTCTTTACTAATTTTTTTATTTTCCTAACTGTCCCAATGCTTATTATTAATAGCTTTAATCCAGTCTATACGTCTTCTTTTCTCAAAAGACGATTTTCCTGATGGAAATTTATAAAACTTCAATCCACATTCATTTTTAAATTTGTTTGAGTAACCAACTGCACAACAACTAGTTACAATAATTTATTTCTTATTAAATCAGTGGGTAAATAAGAATCAGTGAGTAAATATAACATACAAATATCTCAATGTTTTTACTGGAAAATTTCCGATTATTTGTTTTTCTACCTGCAAGTTTGCGCACGCATCTTTTTTTGAAAACGACAATTAAAAACTCATCTATGAATTTTTTTATTTAATAATAAAAAATGCATTAACTATTGATGATATTAAAAATGTTTAGAAACTTTCTTCGATTTTCTTTCATAACGCTAAAACGACAATGGCTTTCTTTAAAAAAAGCAATTGTCGCATTCGCAACATTTTTATTTTAATACTATAAAATAGTTTCCTAATGCTTTATGCGTTGTATATATAACTTTTTTTTATGCGTTGTATATATAGCTTTTTTTTATGCGCTGTATATATAACTTTTTATTTATGCGTTGTATATATAACTTTTTTTTATGCGTTGTATATATAACTTTTTTTTATGCGTTGTATATATAACTTTTTTTTATGCGCTGTATATATAACTTTTTTTTATGCGTTGTATATATAACTTTTTTTTATGCGTTGTATATATAACTTTTTTTTATGCGCTGTATATATAACTTTTTTTTATGCGTTGTATATATAACTTTTTTTTATGCGTTGTATATATAACTTTTTTTTTATGCGTTGTATATATAACTTTTTTTTATGCGTTGTATATATAACTTTTTTTTATGCGTTGTATATATAACTTTTTTTTATGCGTTGTATATATAACTTTTTTTTATGCGTTGTATATATAACTTTTTTTAATGCGTTGTATATATAACTTTTTTTTATGCGTTGTATATATAACTTTTTTTTTATGCGTTGTATATATAACTTTTTTTTATGCGTTGTATATATAACTTTTTTTTATGCGTTGTATATATAACTTTTTTTTTATGCGTTGTATATATAACTTTTTTTTATGCGTTGTATATATAACTTTTTTTTATGCGTTGTATATATAACTTTTTTTTTATGCGTTGTATATATAACTTTTTTTTTTTAAAAATAAAATGTTAATAAATTACTGAAGAACTATTTTTTGTATTTTTTTATTTCTTTTAAAAATTTGTCAAGAGTTCTGTGATGTTTGACATTTCTTAGGGGGGTGGGGGTAGTAACCTTCTTTATTCCTCCTTCCTCCCATTTGTATCTACTCCTGACTTAAAAAACAATAACTGATTTGAAATTGTAAAACAATTTTTTTTTTTTTTAAAAAAAAAACTTCTTTTTCCGTGTAAAATGCTGCAATTACTTGTATTTATATCTAATTCAAAATAAGTTTTAAGTTTAATTGATCAAGGATATTTTTAAATATTTATACAAAAAGACTAATCTCCAACTTTATTTTTTGACATTAACTTGGCCTTTCAGGAAATACCTAAAAATAAATAAGTTAGTAACAATAAATCAAGCAGTCTATCGTGGGGCCGATCGCATATTTCCTTATTTTACGCAACTATATTGAATTTGCAGTTGAACTGATTGTAGTTTGTGTTGTGTGACCCAATAATATAGGTAACAAACGTGGTTTGTGTCGAGTCGGTACATAAGTAAAAAATGAATTGCTTGTAAAAAATAGCACAAGTAATTTTGTTGCATTATTTAATATAAAGAACTTGATTATGTATCGCAATGATATTGCTGTTATGGACTTATTTACTAGCTCGTTCAACCCACCGATTTACAAATTTTTAGTGAGTTGAAATTATTACAACCGTAGCAACCAAACAACCCGTAACAACCAAGGAAACAGCCCTTCTCCATTCAACCAACGAGAAGTCAACAACTTAGTAAGTTTTTAAAAGAGGAAGCCAACGATTTGCCAAAAACCTAAAGTTTACACAATAAAAACGTAATCCGATCAAATGCCAATCCACAGCACTTTGTTTAGTCAATATACGTCCAAATACTGTAATAATACGACTACAACCTTACGTAAAGATTACCTAGTAAAATATACATTATACGCAATGTATTTACTTCAAATTAATTCTAGAACTCCTTTCAAATTATACAAGTTTGCATCACACAGTATCATGTAACAAAATTAAGTTATATCATATAACAATATTTACAATATATTATATAGCAATACCAATATATTGCAAATATATTGATATTGCTATATCAATAAAATGTCGTCATGATAGAAACTCGCAGAGGAACATTTAATACAGATTTTTGTAACGAGTGGATGTTGGCTATGTTTCACCAGTGTTTTATATCCTGGAACCGTTTAGAGGATTTGATTGTTGTAACAGACAATGCTCCATGCCACGCTCGTTTAGAAAAAGTATTTGAAAATTCAACAGGTGAGTAGTTACGTTTAGGACCTTACAGTCCAATGTTTAGCCTGGTTAAACAAAAAAAAAGAAAGTTCTGACACCCGATAGGATTTTTCCAGTTACCGCCAACACTGCAAATGCCTTTATTGTGCTTTTTTATTTTATTGATCGTGTATCATTGTTTATTGAAAACCAACCAAAATGGCCACAGGTATAAGTATGATCCAAATTTTAGCCACCTTGGCCAAATTAGGTAGGATCCAACCTTAAATTACAAGGTAAATTAAGGCAACAAATTATATAGTTAACATAACTAATTTAACAACGTAATTACATAATCATGTATTGTGATATTATACATATGAATATTATTATAACACTTACTTACCAAAGCAATCAATTAAGTAAGAGCAAGCTACTTTAAAAAGGAGACGATGCAAGCGATCATCCATTACAGTCTTTTGCGCCTCAATAATAATAATATTTTTTAAAGGGTGATTTTCAATTGCATCCAGTATTAAAACAACCTAATAGAAGAAACCAATAGATGAGTTTTTTAATTCATCAACTAGTCAAAAAGTATAAAGCTGTATATTACAACATCACAGTATATTTGAAGCTGAAGAGCATTTGGATGTTTTTGATATAAAGGGTGATTCTTATATTGTTCTGCATCACAATAACAAGTTAATTTATTTAATTTTTTACTAATGTTACAACCTATTTTAAATGAAAGCAACACAAGATCAAGTGTTGGTTTTCAACACAAGGTTTTTTACAGTGTGGTACACGCTTTTCCGAACAAAAATATAAGTTTTTTTAATTACAATATATGTAAGTTTTTTCATCAAAAAGTATAACATATTTGGTATGTGTGGAAATATTATTTTAACCACTATTTTAATCTAGTAAAAGTAATGCGACTATAAAAAATTGTCAAGCATAGTTTTATTTATAAAAGATGTAATTTTCAACGTAAAGTACTTTGGGGCTTGGCTATAGATAAGATTTGATTTTTTCATAAAAGCACGTATTGGCGTTCGTTTTCAATAAATGTAACGTGACATTTATAATCAGACATTATTTGGGAAAATTTTCCATGAAAAACCATTTTTTTATGAAAATTGAAATTGTTATTTTCAATACCACACCTAAATGAGTATGTTTAACAATAAGGTCACGTTAGATTCAGATAAACTATGATAGCGTGAATTTTTCTACAAAAGTCGTTTTTGCATAAATAATCATATCTTTTAGCCCCTTTCAAAAAACTGTTTTTGGTATTTAGTATCATTTTTTGCAATACTCGGGACTTATCGGCCATCTTGAAAAAATAATTTATTCCCTTTAGAATGCGTAAATAATAATAAAACAGAGACGGTCGACTTTATAAAAAAATTACTTTCATTTGTAAACTTTAATTGACATTGGGTTTCTTTTATTTTTGTAACAATAATTTAAAAGTAACATAAGTTACTTTTAACTAATTGTTATAAAAACAATTAGTCGATACAATAGCTACTTAGTCGATACCTACTTAGTCGATACAAATAGCTATTATGGCTTCAGTAATGTATTAAGATAAACAGTTTTTGTTGTTAGCACAGCGCAAATGGAAATATATATATTTAATATTTATATTTCTATTTGCGTAATAAATAATTCATTCCAACTGCTTTTAAAAGTAGCATATTTTTTTAAAATATACCAACACAAATGTATTAAATTGTAATTAGGTTTATAAATTATGTCAAACAAACACTTCAAGATATCTTTATAATTATATTGATGATTCTCCTGCAAAACTGTTATAACAGACACTTTGGTTGTTTATAATATTTTTCCATTATTTACGAATTCTTTGTTTGCATAAATTAAATACCAATAAATAAAAAGTTTTTTGGTTTGCTACTAACAACTTTTGTTTAAAATTATCTTTTTAACTTTTGTTTAAAATTATCGGCTTTTTTTTTACGAGTTAGTTTGTTCTATGCCTTATTTGTATTGAGTAATACGAACAGACCATCCCACAATAAATTTAACCATAATTTGACTTAATTGATTGCATCGTTATTGGAAATAAATTCAGTTTACCAAAAGCGTTACTTTTTTCCGATCAAGGCAACCGGTTACATAATTTAATATAAACACTGATTTCTTCCTTTAATCAAAACAGGTTGTTTCTTCCCAGTAAAATCAATAAAAATCGATTAAAAATCATTATCTTTACATGGACTATTCATTCAAAATTATATTTGCAAATTAATATTGCCATGGCGGTATGAAATTCTACAAACAAAAAATTGTAAAATTTGGTGCAATCAATATAGTGTGAATACGAAATTAGATCACAAAAAAAAATGACGCTATAAAACTTTAAATCAATGGTGCACGTGCATTTTTTATGAGGGTTAGCTCTCAAAATATCTCGAAACGTAGAAAATAAGATGTTTTACTAGATAAATTTTGCCATTATGTACTTTATTTTCAAAATAATTGCAAGTGTTCCAATTAAGGTGCTGTTTCAATTTCGGCAACTCTCCTTTAGAGCTATTTTTTTAAATGTGTTTCCGTTTTAAAATGATTACATTTTAAAAAAGAGTTTTGTATTGTTTTAAGATACGAAATATAGTATAAATATAACGTAGATAAAAAAATAGGATACTGGATTTTCACATGATATTTATTAAATATCTGATTCAAACTTATTTAAAATGTTAAAAATGAATGGAAAATGTGAATATGAGCGACCACAAAAAA